GGCAGTCTTTGCCTAGCACACACCATAACTCTGCACTCCCAGGGGAGAGCATGCATTCAGTGTGAACCATATAGTTTGCAATGGTTTAGGCACAGTGAGCTATTCCCAGGGATTGGTGAAAACCTTGTTGAAATCCACATTCCCAGACACCAGCCAAGGCTCAGTCAGCATTGTAAGCAGGTCTTTTCTAAGGACAGCCGTCTCAAGCTTGCTCTGTCAGCTTTCTTCTCTACAGGGGTATATCATTTTTAGATTGGGGGTACTGGATTTTTTTATTAGAAATGAAATACAGGCTCATAAAACATTCACATAGTATAAAAATAGACAAGCATGTCAATATACCTTTTTAAGATCGGAATGAGTTGTGTTACACATAGTCCCCTCATAGTCCCCTCTAATTTTTCATTTACATTATACCTTGGCCATCTTTCCACATGAGTACATATCTATTTCTTTAAACAGCTGCTGGTATTTTTCAAATTCAAGTAATGCTGCAGTGAATGCCCTTCACATATATTTTTGCTGCTTTGTACAATTATTATCTGTCAGGTGAATTTTTAAAAGTGGAATTGATGGTTCAAAGAGTATGCACCTCAAAAGTTCATATATCGCTAAATTGGAGTGTAAAACACTTCTGCAATCTGCTCTTCAGAGGTACCCAATGCACTTTTCCCTACTCACCTGCCACAACCCTGGCTTTCCCTTCACCAGAACCAATGACCTTGTTGCCAAGTCCTCGCCCCCATCCCAGCAAACCCTCAGAGGTGCTGCGATGGTGGCCAGCGACACACAGATATTTACCAAGGGGGCTCTAAGCCTGCCAAGCCCTAACAGGAAGAGGGGCAGCTCGCCCACCTGAACCATTCCAGCGCATTACAGACATCCCAGAAGGTAGAAAGCAAGGATCGTTGGCTTCTATGCAGACTCAAGCTACAGAGATATGAAGTGTGCTGGAAATCCTTTGAGCAGATAGACGTGTCTGACAGCACCTGTCGTAGCATTTTCTAAGTTCATTTATTAGTGAGCCTCTGTTAGTTTGCACAGTATTCCTGAGGTTTATGTTTCTCACTCCATAGGAGGAGGAAAAGACCTAGAAAGATACAAGGCCCTATGACACGGAGTTAATTTTATTGGTTTTCATCTCGCTAAGCAAAGATAAATCTCAAATCTTGTGTGTAAATTTACAGTTACAGTATTTTTATTTTATGGGAGATCTTGTAGCGTGTGTGTGTGTATCTGTGTGTGGGGGGGGGCGGCGGGGAGGGTGTCAGCCCTGATAAGAAATTAACGAGTCATCGTATGTAGTTAAACAGTACAGCATGGAAGACTACCAGCCAAAGGGGTGTTTGAAGAACTCCCACCAAGAGCAGTGAAATAAAACGGTGTTGATGAGAATGCAATTAGTAAAGCCCATTACCCTGCCTAAGAGGTTATAATGCAGCTAATTGCTTTCTCAGCTAACAGAGCTATAAATAGAGACTTAAGAAATGCCTTTTTAAAACATGACTTGGTTATTAACAGACTAATTTGTTTTAGACACTAAAGGATGGGGGATTTTCCCTCCCAGTTTTTGTTTATCCTAAAAAACAATATTTTATCAGTCTGAAAAATAAAATTTCAGAAGGAGAATGTTTTTCCTCTGACCATTTCCTATTCCAGGGCAGCACTGAGTGTAGGTCAGAGGGACGGGCAGTGGGTCGTTTATGTCAGGAAGTGCTGGGCAGTAAGGGCCTTGCTGGGCAGTGTTCCCAGTGCCATCTCACCGCCCCATCACAGCAGAGGGGATCTTGAGACCAACATGGGCCAGAGACCAGGTAGACTATAGTTGGCCCAAAGCTGCCTACCCTGGGCCGTGACAGCCCCTGGGGTCCAAGAAGCACAATGTAGTATCTCAGACAAGGTCCAGATGTGCTCTCTCTCCCATCTGCTTTCTGTCTGCAACTTACTTTTAAGCTCATCAAGGAATGACAGTATCTGTGTATGTATCTGTTGCTTTCTGTACTGGTGTGTTCCATACAGGTGACACACACATTCCATTTTAAGCAAATATGTTTGTTTTCTAAAAAATGTTCATTATTTTCTATTTTTAACTTTTTTATATAGCAGATTTATTGAGGTATAATTGACATGCTGTAAACCACTTGCTTTTAAAAGTGTGTGGTTTAATTTGCTTCCTGTTTAAAATTAGTTTGTGCTGGTAGTTGAAAAGCTTCTACCAATATTTAGAATAAATATGTTATTAGGTAGAGAAAATCTTTTAGTAGGTAAAACAATATCATAATCCCCTTTCCAGTACAGGGCAATGAAATGTTGAGACTTTTCTCCAAAGTCCATTTAAAACCTTTAATTTTAAGCAAAAATATTTCTTACTTAAAAGTTGGAAATTTTTTTTCCAGATGGGAAGCATTGGCCATGTAAAAGAATTGATTGAAAAGAAAATGTATTTTTTATTCTTCCAGACAGAGTTTTTAAAGTTTCTAGCTGAGAGATCTCAATCAGACGGTTATTATAGCCTGTCTTATTTTAGTTTCATGTGTCTGTTTTAAGAGAAATACATTTTATGTTCTTATAAACAGAAATGAATAGGCGTGATTTCCGAGGTAACAGCTATGTGTATAGCTGTAATTGACATTTTTCTTAAACTGCCAAATGGTCTTTAGAAAGTGTTTTCATACTTCTTTTAATCCCTTTTAAAATAGATTTGTCTCAGGCTTTTAAAATCTCTATATAAACTTGAATAGCAGAGAATACCAAAGCCAGTACCTATGGACATTTGAATAAGTGACAGACAGAGTTAGGGAAGTGCTTGGTTTGTTCGAGGTATTATTTGAGTGTTTTCAAGATTGAAGGGAAGGAAATTTTTTAAAAGGCCCAGGTGGATGTTGTTTCTTTATGGCTGCCCTAAGATGAATTATAATAGTTCCATTACTCGGTAGTCAGCTTATAAACAAACTTTGCAATAGCTTTCTAAAAGCCTAAGTGGAGTTAGTCAATTAAAGAAAAAACAGCTTTCTTTCCCTGACTCAGAAGCGTGTTCTTTTGCATGACTCCTTAGTCAAGCAAGAGCTTGGTAGCTACTTTTCACTGGGGTTTATTTATAGTTGGGATCCTCTTGGGACAAGGAGGTTCCTGTCTGGCCCAGCCCCTCATCCAGGTGGGTGGATAGGGGTGAGTGGTGCAGTAATCAGTGTTTCTTGCCTGGGCTTTTACTATGGCCTACAGCCCAAGG